CGGGTCCCAATTACTGGTGTTTCCAACAGAGGTGGTCCTATAAATACAGAGCACTCGGGGGTGCACACCTTCAGTTTGTCTGTGGCTAAGGGGATTCTGGGATTAAGAGGCTTCCACACTAAAACCGGGAAAGTCCTGGATAAACTGGGGTGAGTTTACACAGTGCTTTGATGCATTTATTTATTATTCATTTTGCCAACATCAATGGATTTGCAGCTATAATCTCCATTCTCCAACCTTCGCTCACTTGTTGCAAGTACCAAGCAAGGCAAGTACTCAGGAGTTACCTGCCTGGTAAGGAGGAAAGACCCACGGAAAGGAGCCCACAGCCACCCCAGTCTGGTGTCAGGCCATATGCAACCTGACTCGAACTATTCAATTGTGTTGACTGCCAGGGAAGCCCCTGTGCTGATCGGGAGCAGGGGTCCCGCGGGGCCTGTCTGTCCCACACCAGCCTGCCACGCACACCCCCACAGCACTATAGGAAGAGCATCCTCACCTTTGGCTGGTGACCACTCAGACCAACCTTCCTACAACTCACATCTCAGCCCTAGAACAGAGCCAAGCACACGCCCACTGCCCTGCTCTAAGACTCCAGTGTGGGAATCCAGGAGTGAATCCCAGGGTATTTGGATGATGTTTAGAGGACTGCAGAAGCGGTCAATGACTATGGCCTTCACTCATGCCTGGGGCTATTTTCTTTCTTAAATGATTTCAGAGGAAGAGAAGGTTTGGAGCAGTGCATCAGTACCAGCCTTTCAACTTCAGCACAGTGTTCAATTTTTATTAATAACTTTATTGAGGTATGATGGACACGTCACAAACAGAGCACATTCAAAGTGTGTAATTTGGAAGGACTGACCTGGATGTACCCATGAAACCATTGCCTTGATTAAGATAATGGAACGATTCATCACCCCAAAAGAGCCTCAGGGCCTTTGTGGGTCCTCACTGGCCACTCCCCTTCCCCAATAGCTGATTTGCTTCCATGATCCAGGTAATTTGCAGTGTGCGTCCATCATAAAGTTGCATGAACCCTTATGTGCAGACCTTTGCATGGATATGTGCTTTCATTTCTTTGGAGTAAATATCTGGGAGTGGGATTTCTGGATTGAATGGTAGGTCTGAGTTTATCTTTTAAGCTCTGATGAGGCTGCAATCTTAATTTTCTTAGTGTTTGTCAAAACACGGAAACTTTTAATTTTGATGGAACCTAATTTAGCAAGTTATTTTATATATTTTGCTTTGGGTGCTGTAAATAAGAAAGCATTGCCTAATCTAAGGTCTTCTTGGTTTCTTCTAGAAGTTACCTAGTTTTAGGTTTTATATTTAGATCTATAATCTAATTTGAGTTGGTTGTTATATATTATGTGACAATGAATTGACATTCATCTATTTCACCATATGGATATCCATTCCTTCCAGCATCATTTGTTGAAAAAAAAAATTCTATCCTTTCTCCACTAAATTGCTATCTTTTCTGATCATAAAGGCATGAAGCTAAGAATCAAATGCAGAAAAAATATTGGAAAATCCACAACATGATCCTGAACAATGAATGGATCCAAGAAGAAATAAAAAAAAAAATTTAAAAAATATATATTGAGACAAGGGATTATGGAAACACAACATACCAAAATTTATGGGATGCTGAAAAAGAAAGAGAGAGAAAGGGGGGAGGGAGAGAGAGTGGGAAAGAAGGAGGGAGGAAGGAGGAGGGAGGGAGGGAGAGAGAAAGAGAATATACATTTCTAGTATCATGAAAGAAGTGAGATTGCCTGAGCATCTCTACAGATATTAAAAGAATAATAATAATAATAATTGTCTTTATGCCAATAAATTTGACAATTTAAATAAAATGGACAAATTTATTGAAAGACACAAATTGTCGAAGCTCACTTAAAAACAAACAGATAACCTGAAAAGCCATGTATCCTTTAAATAAATTGAATTTTAAATTAAAAACTTTTCGGTTTCAGTCTATTCCTGTTGCTATTAAAAAACATATACACTGGATAATTTATAAATAGCAGAAATTAGTTGCTCACAGTTCTGGATGCTGAAAAGTCCAGATCAAGTCTCCAATAGATTGTGTGTCTGGTGAGGGAGTTCTTTAAACTGCATCAACATGTCATTAATAGTAGCATAAAACATACCGAAAGCAGAAAGCTCTGTGCTATAAGCAACAGAGTCATATGCAGAATACTCTGGTCTAAAATGATGGTGCATGAATCTATTTATCTCTAGCATGAGGATTAATAGAAAAATCTATTAAAACAACTAGAATTAAAATTAAATGTGGGGAAATACAAATTTTAAAGTGGTGCAAATTTTGATATCTAAAACTTAAAATTGGAGGGGGTGATGTAAGTGTAGAGTTGTATGTAATCAGTTGTTATTAGCCTGTAATTGCCTGTGAAAAGGTGTTTTTTGTAAACCTCAAGGTAACCACAAAGCCAAGTAAGCCAGACATACAAACATCAATAGAAAGAATTCAAGGTACATCCCTACAGAAAACTACCCACCTACAAAGGAATTATTGCTGTATGAATATACATGACTGCATGACCAATGTGATTCTGCAACCTGTACACTCAGAAAAATGAGAAATTATACCCCATCTGATTCAAATGTATGATATGATAAGATCATTGTACTGTCATGTATACTAATTTTTTTAAAAAAGAAAGAAATGTCATTGGGATTTTGAGTGGAATTGCATTAAATCTTTATAGTGTTTTGGTGTAGTATGGTCATTTTGACAATATTAATTCTGCCTGTCCAAGAACAAGGGAGCTCTTTTCATCTTCTAAGGTCTTCTTTAATTTATTTTATTAGCGTTCTGTGGTTTTCATTGTAGAAGTCTTTCACCTCTTTTCTTAAGATGATTCCCAAGTTTTTGTTTGATTGTTTGTTTTCAGGCTATTGTACATGGAGTAGTTTCCCTTTCAGAGGATTTGTCACTGATAATAAGAAATGCTTCTGATTTATGGGGTTTGATTTTGTATCCTGCTACTTTGCTGAATTCATTTACTAGTTCTAGAAGTTTTCTGGTGGAACTGAGTCTTACAGGTATAGAATCATATCATCAGCAAATAGTGCTTCTTTTCCTATCTGTATCCCTTTAATTTCTTTCATCTCTCTAATTGCTCTGGCCAGTGTTTCAAGAACTATGTAAAACAGAAGTGGTGAAAGAGGGCATCCCTGTCTTGTTCCAGTTTTTAGAGGGAATGCTTTCAACTTTTCTCCATTTAGAATGATGTTGGCCTGGGGCTTAGCATAGATAGCTTTTATGATGTTGAGATATATTACTGTTATCCCTAGTTTTTCTAGTGTTTTGAATATGAACGGGTGTTGCATTTTGTTGAATGCTTTTTCTGCATCTATTGAGATGATCACATGATTCTTATCTTTAAATCTATTGACCATCCTTCTTTTCTAATGTATAATGTTTAATACTATAAATTTTATTGCAAGTACTGCTTTATCTGCATCCCCAGAATTTTTAATATGCTTTATTTTTCTTTATATTAAGTTTAAAGAACTTTTTAGCATTCATTTTTATTTTTTCTTGAACAATTGAGTATTCTGAAGTATGGTGTTTATTTTTCAGAATTGACAAATTTCTAGATGAGTTATTTATTGATTATGATTTAATTCAATGTGGTCAGAGAACACATTTTTTTATGATTTGAGCACTTTTTAGTTTATCAAGTATTTTTATCCATAAGAAAACTGTCGTGTTTGCTCTTGAAAAGAATGTGTATTCTGTGGTTTTTGAGGTGGCCCAGTCTATGCCCGTCAAGAGGGTCAATTGGTTAATATGACATTGCTGAAATTTCTATCCTTTTTCATTTTTTTTTATTTGTTTGACATATTTTGTCTGGTTTTCTAGGGGTTTCTTCTTTCTTTTTATTTTTGGCACCATTGATTGAATCCAGGTGCACTTAACCACTGAGCCACGTCCCCAGTCCTTTTTTATTTTTAATTTTGAGACAGGGTCTTGCTAAGTTGCTGCGACTGGCTTTGAACTTGCAGTCCTCCTGCCTTAGCCTCCCCTGCCACTAGGATTACAGGTGTGCACCACTGTGCTTGGCTCTAGTTTTTTCAAGTGAGAGAGTCAGTCCTGTCCCTGTTGGTTCCTATTAGTTGGAAGTGAAGCATGGAATATATCTTATTCTAGTTAGAATCCTATTCTTATGGATGTACATGATGGTGGGATTCACTATGTTGTTTTCATGCTGTTATTTTTAAAGCAACTCTGAAGTGTTTATAAACTGAATTGGGCCACTTGGTTATTAGCTATTTTCATCTCCTTATAGTATTTACATTCTCTGTGGTTTTCGATGACCTTTAGAAAAAATATAAAAATATAAATTATTTTTATACAAATTCCAACAAATATTTTAAAAAAAAGAAAACCCTGAACAATAGAATCTAAAGGACACTTGGGAAGCACTCAGGTCAATTTCGGATGTATCTTTTTCATGTTATAATCATGTATGTGTTTATAAAGAAGAAACAGCACACCTTTTGGTTGGTTTGTTTTATGATTCTTAATATGAACAAAAATGACAGGTGTTGGCCACCATCCCAGGCACTGTGGACAGACAGAGACTGGCAGCAGGAAACCAGAGTCCAGACAGTACTGCCTGCCTTTGATAGTAGAGGTGCCTCACTGCTGGGCCACCTGCAGCCACCTCGTCTGAGGTCAAGGAGGCCGCCAGGATGGCTGTTGGGCCACTTCTCTGGGTACCGCCTCCTGGCCTCGCCTGGGTGAGGCTGGCCCCAGCAACTGGGTCTGAGAGGGGTGAGGCCCCACCCCCAGGGTATTAAACGTGCCTCTGTAGACATGGCCCCTTCCTCAGGAATCACGGCTCGGGGCAGTCGCCAAAACAGCCGAGAAGGTGGACAGGGTGGGAAAGATGCCTTGTCTTTTTCACTCTTGGTTTGAGAGGGTGGGAAGAAGTTGTAGATAACTAAGGGAAGGAGTGGAGAGAGGGGCGGGGAGTGATCAGAGACTCCAGGGTGGGATGCTCCATGCCCCCTGGAAGATGACCAGGAGCTGTCAGGTGGCGGTGGAGTCGTGGGAAGTGGAGAGCGCTGAGCTGGCCTGAGCTGCCTGACTTCTGCTGGAGACTAGAGTGGACAAGGCCAGGGCCCGGCGACGGGATGGCGCTCGGGCCGCAGCCCGGAGGCCTCACAGAGCAGCTGCGCAGCAGCCTCAGGGCTACACAGAAGCAGAACAGCCCCCTCGGCCCTCACTTTGCACAAGCTGCAGGGCAAGGACAGCTGTGCCCCGCAGACAGCTCCCGGACCGCTGTCCCCTGCCACCTGCCCCTGCTGCTGCCCTGGAAGGGGACGGTTCCTGCAAGGCCAGGAGGGAGCAAAAGGCCACTGTTGCCAGGTGATCCACGAGAACAGGCCCCTCCCACCCGAGGCCAGGCAGGTGCTGTCCAGCTGCACACCGTGGGCCCTGCTGGCACCGGCCGGTCCCATCCTACTCTCCACAGAGCGCCGGCCGCTGCGAAGAAGGCAGCCTCCTGACCTGTTACCTCACGTTCTTCTTGGTTTCTCCTCTTCTTGCTGCCTCAGCCTGGGGTGGCCAGCACTGCCCGGGCCCAGCACAAGCTCCCCTGGACCAGGAGCTCACTGACACTCCCGCCCCTCATGGCCCCACGCAGCGCCCAGGGGCAGGATCTTGGCCCCCACTGGAAAGTTCTCTGAGCCCAGCCCAGCAGAGGGGCTTCCTTCGAGTCTGTGAAAACGGGAGCAGGCTGCCAAGGAAGCCCTGGGCTTTGGGCAGCAGGACCCAAGGGAAAGGGAAGTTTCCAGGGGCTCGGATCTTTTTTCATGCTGACTTATGGTTGTGCAGTTTCCATTCATTCTTCTTCTAAGCCCATAACATTTTAGCATGTCAGGAAAACTTGAAGGCACATAATCAAACCCCCTTATTTCACATAGTAGGAGATTGTGGCCCAGAGAGGTTAACTGACTCACAGAGAGACACACAGCTAGTTAGTGGCAGAGCAGGGATTAAATCTGTGACTCTGTGTTCCAGCGGCAGGGCTCCTCCTATCCTGTGCTCCAAGTCACAGTTCCTCCACCCTGTTGGAGTCCCTCGGGGTCAGCTGCCCACGGCTCCCACTAGCCTCAGCACAGCTCAGGGCCGAACATGAAAATATGAGACTCACACATTTATGGCACCTTTGTCTCACTTTTACAGTTCAGCACCAGCGCCTGCTTTCCTGCACTCCACTCCCCACTCTGGGACAGTTGGTTATGGCTGGTCCCCAGCTGACCATGGCCTTGAAACACCGCCACAGCCTCATACAGACTCCAAGTAGACACGCACGTGTGTGTGCACTCATGTGCCCACGGCTGACACCAGGCAGACCCATCCCTGTCCATGAGCCTTGGACCTACTCAGCCATTCTAAGGGGAATGACCCACGCTGTGCTCCACCTGTGATCCAGACCCTGCAGAGCCACACTGCAGGGCCCTCGGGATTCAGGAAATCAATGAGACAAGATCCGCACACAAGTGTCTGTGTGGAGAGGCCCTCCGTGGAGGTGCCCCTGCTGCAGGTGGACGACAGGAGAGTCACATCTGTGTGGACAGGTGAGGAAAAGGTCGCCCAGCAGCTAAGCCAGGGATCAGACTTCCACAGAGCTGGTGGTCCAGGCCCAGGGCCCCTCACCAGGGCACTGTCACATACCGGGCCAAGGAGAGCTTGCCCAAGAGCCTGTGGACCCTCTGGAACATGCTCTCTCTTCCCCCCACCTCCCCATGGGCAAAAAAATAAAAGTAGGATTAATTTGCAAAGGGAAAAACTCCATAAAACCAAAAAGAAACTGAGACCATGTTTTAAGAGATAACAGCCCAAGTTTCTCCAAATCATGGGGCACCGTCTCCAAGTCTTTTACGTAACATCCCTTTAATCTCAGAGTCACAATCAGGCACCAGCACAACACCCCCTTTTTCAGGGAAGACCCTGGGAGTGCTGGGTAGACATTTAGGGCCTGCTGTTACAGGCTGCCGTTCTTGCCCACCACAAGACCATTCCGTAAATTTGTTTTCTTCTCTACTCTGACCCGGCAGGAGATTACTGCTGCTGGAAAAGCCATCTGTCGCGTGTTTGGGACTGGCTGCCTCCTTCCTTCAGTCCCCATCCCCCGCCACACAGGTACCTTGGCTTCTCCTGGTCCCCTGTCCTCCTCGGGTTCAACTTCCTGGCAGCCTCTCCCACTGGGGCATGAGCTTGGGCTTTTTTCTGAGCTGGCCACAGTCATCCAGGGGCTAGCCACACAGCCCAGTGAACAGGGCAGTGGAAATTCAGCTGACGAGTGGAGGGTTTCCAATATAAATTTCCCTTTTCTCACCACAATTTTATAGGACTTTGCAAAGATACACATCAGCACTTTTGCAAGTCTGGCTGTATTCTGAAAAGGATCCCGCCTGTCGACGTTCTAAGCTTTTAGGTTGTTTTCTTTTAATGGTTTGATCAGGCACGTTATGTCCCTGTAACCCTATCCGAGGCCATAAGAAGAGGGTTAGAAATACCAGGGTTTTAGGGAAATCTGCTTGCCACATCAGCCAGGGTTTTATGTAACCCTTAGTACATTTTCTCATGTGTTCTCAGATACTGGCCATCTTGCTCGGTCTTGGCATCTCAGTGCTGTTTCTTAATGTATTGGAGCACACTTAAAAGCCAGCCGTGGAAGCCCCTGTTTCCAGCACGTTCCCTCTGTTCACAAGCGGCCCCAGCAGGGCAGGCTGGCTCGCTCAGCTCACCTCACTCTATAGGACCAGAGTGGGAAAATGATATCAGCAAGTGATAAACCTGGGGGAAAGTGCAAGAACGTTCAGTGAATTCCAGAACCATTTTATAGGCTCCTGATCTCACTAGGGCCTTTTGGGGAAGAGGAACTTACTGTGCGGTCTCTCACTTTCCTTCTCCTCCTCAGCCTGAAGCTCAGCGCTCTCACCGAGGCAAATCAGTCTCAAGAGCACGAACTTCGTCTTCCAGAGCTCATCAAATGGTAGGGGACGTTTAGAATACACGTCAGAGCAACCTTGGGGTCTTCCTAATGCATGTTTTCTCAGTTGTGCACTCAAACAAAAATTTAACAAGAGAGGTTGTTTTGATCAAGAGGTATGACTGGTCCTACAGAATTTGAGCTCTTTGTGGGTAAAACTGATGTGTGATTATCTTCTTATGTGGATACCTCAAAAAGCAGGTTTTGTAACTGTGTGGAACCTAATAATACTGAGGACTCCGTGACCTCCACAGGCGGCGAGAGCCACAGCATTCCATGTCCTGACCTTGGCTCACGTGGCTGCCCCTACAAGGAGACGTGACCCCCCCACACACACACACACAACACCTACCTTCTCATTCTTCAGAACCTGCCTGTTCAGTGCAGGCTTCCCTGAGCCAATCCCACTCCCCACCCCTCCCAGAGCCATCGCAGGGGACTCCATCATCCGTCCTATAGGAACCCTACCGCACCTTGCGCATTCCGAAAGTGCCACCTGTAACCCTTTCTTGCACGTGTGGGTTGACCTGTGGTTCTACTTTCCTGAACAAAGTTTCTCAGTTTCTGGACTGTTGACCTTTGGGGTCAGATAATTCTTTGCTGTGGGAGTTGTCCTATGTGTGACAAGGTATTTAGGAGCATCCCTGGCCTCTGCCTGCTAGATGCCCCTGCACATCCTCCCCATGGGGACAACCAAAACTGTCGTCAGACACTGCCACATGTCCCCGAGTGGCAGTATTCTCCCTCCGAGATCCAGTGTGTGGACTCGGAGCTCTTGAGGGCAGTGGCGATGCTGTCTTTCTCTGTCATGGCACTGTCCCCGCCCCACAGGGGGCTTTTAGCAAGTGTTTCCTGGGTTTTGAGACTCAAGAGACTCAGTACATGCTGATACGGTGTTTATACACAATAAATGTTAACTATTCTATTACTATTATCTGAAACTCTGGCCCCATCTCATGAAAGGAAGTGACGATAATACCAACTTCATAAGTTTGTAGGTGTCTGGCAGCTGTGATGTGCAGCACATGTCGAATCTGAACTTGAGCTGACCCTGAGATACTTCATTGTCTTGGAAACTGGAGAAGCCCTGGATTTTTTCCCACATGTTTGTTTCAGACCTGACCACTGAGCTGCTGGACTCAGGACCCAACTCTGATGATGAGAGCTTGCTTCTGACTCTGCCTGCAGGCCTGGCCAGGTCCCCAGCCTCCTGACTGCTGACCTGTCCTGGCTTCTACAAGGGTGGGCTCCTTCCTATCATAGCCCAACCACTTCCTGTTCCTTCTAGTCTCAGTCACACTTGTTGGGCAAGTTGACATCCCAGAGCAACTAGTCGTGCCATTGCCTGGGCCCTGGAACTAGTTATTGCAAAGTGCACAGACCCTGCAAGACCTTGCACTTTCATCTCGGCCTTGTGTGTGTCCCACCAAAGAGGGAGTTGGAAGGAACCAGTTCTGCTCAACAATTCAGTGTGGGGCTCTATCCCATGTATAATAGCCAGCCTGATGGATTTTTTCTATCAGACTGCTTTGTGTTGTGTGAAATGGCTCTCCTCAGGGGGGTTGCTTGATCGTAGTCATGTTATGACAGTGTTGCCACCAGGTCTCCTCAGTGACTATGGTTTCCTTGGAGACCCAGGGTAATGTAAGGAAAGCAGCATGACTTTCTGCTTGGGCCGAATCATTCCTCATGACACCAGTGTCCCCCACTGAGCTGGCAGGGTGACCAACCAATCCCTACTTAAGGTAGTAACCTTTGACAAGAGTCTATGCGATCAACATCCTTCTCCACATTCTGAACTCCACTCCAACATGCATCCCATAGTAAGGTGCACGTTGTTAGCCAGGATCTAAAAACCTAACCTGTAAATGGGACTTTTACCCCCAATAATATTTCCCAAGCTTGGCACTCATTCATTTCTCCCTGGTGCACTTTGAGCCATCTGCCTATTTGTTTATTCAATCCATTCAACAAACACCACTCAACACTGCACTGGGCCAGGCCTTGTGATCAGGTCTCATGTTCAGTGGCTCCTGAAAATACCACTGTCCCAGCTCTTGCAGAGTTTTGGTAACATAGGGAAGACAGCAGCCAGACAACCATGCCACTGAATGCAGAATGAGCACTGGAAGCCAGGAAGCCTGGCCGGGAGGCTCAACTCCAGAGTGCTGATGTCCAGAACCCTCTCAGACACTCTAATGCAGGTCTGAGGTGGCCCAGGCAGGCCTGAGAACTGCCTTCCATGGCACAAGCCATCAGGAGAGCAGGTCATGCCATGAGTGGCTCAGGCCACTGAGGACGAACAAGGTGCGGGACAGCTGTAACATGGCACTGTGGAGACCAGGTGCAGAAAGTGCAAGTTGGAATGAGTCTGACATATCCCCCAGCTTCAAAACTCTTCTTCCAAAGCTCAGAGCCTAACATATTCTGGTTCTCACTGTTAACTATTTTAAAGACAATTCCACTATAAATAAATACATAAATGTTAACACTTCTACTGCTTGTCACCCGCAGCTCAGGGGAAAGTGGCAGTGCAGGTTTTCCGTGCTATTGGATGTTGGCCAAGCCATTTATCTTTAAGGTCTTTTTGCTACTTACTAGTGCCCAGGTGAAGCCTGGATTCCCTACAGCTGATCCAGTTTCTGCACTGTGAAAGCTGATCCCAGAAGGGTGTAGCAGAGTTCCATTCAGTTACCCAGGAGCAAGTGAGCCATCAAAAGCAGGAATCTGCTAAATGAGTTAATTTGCCCTTTTGGCTTATTGACAGATTGGGTCCCTCTTCAAATCCAGAGGGACCCAATCTGTCAACAGTCTAGGTGAGGAACCTGTAAACGCCTCCAGAGCTCCCGAGGCCCACACAGCTCCAGACCCCACAGCAGAGCAAAATCAGCAGATACCTGCCTGCTAGCACCAGAGCACAAGACTCATGGATGAGAGTTGTTTTATCTACATATGTACCAGATTTACATAAGTGTCAGCCAAACAGTAAGTTCTGGAAGGCCCCACCCCTGATCTTGACGACTCACTGCAGGGCAGGACCAGTGAGTCTGCTTGACAGAATTATAATAAACTCAGGCCTTGAAAAGCTTTTAATGCATTATTGAACCGATGTCAAGAATAAAATGTCAAAATACTAAAAACAGACTGAAGTTAAAAATCTGGCCCCCAAATCCACTAGAAGTTTATTCATTCCTTTCATTTTATATATACAGAGGTGACTTCACACTGCCATGTGGTATGAGAGCAAAGTAATATGAAAATATCCAGCAGGCTGCAGTTTCCAGGAACAGGACCTCGAGAGCACACTAGGAAGTGAGCAATGAAGACAGCAAAGGTCCTTCTGTTTTATCTGCTCAAAATTTCCCCAACCAAGAGGGAGCAACAAGGACAGGATCGACCCTCTTGCTTGAAAAAAACTAGAGCCAGGTGCAATGGTGCATGCTTGTAATCCCAGCATCTTGGGAGGCTGAGGCAGGAGGATGGCAAGTTCAAAGCCAGCCTCAGCAATTTAGCAAGGTCCTAAGCAACTTAGCGAGATGCTATCTCTAAATAAAAAATGAAAAGGCTTGGCGGTTAAGTGCCCCTGGGTTCAGTCCCTGGTTTAAAAAAAAAATTCCCCAATATAAGTGACTTCCAGAGTCTATTATTATCTTTATTTATAGTGCCGGGAATGGAATCCAAAGTCTACCACCGAGCTATGCCCCCAGCCCAGGGCGGGTTATTTTTGTCAATGCTCAGCGTAACTGCATGGCATCAGGTTTAGCTATTTGCATTTAGCAATATGGGTTCAGCTGGAAGCTCATCGAAAGAGTCTCTTGTCTGGGGTTTTCCAAATTTGTTCCTCAAATTGCTAAAGGTCTTTGCAGGTATTCTAGGAGTCTCTATAAAACTGAGATGGGGGCTGGGGGCAAGATAATAAGGGTCAGGGTCCAGATGCCAAGCATCACCTTCAAGAAGAACCAGTGCATCTGTTATTTATATCATTGTGCTGAATCCAGATCATGTTGGAAAAAAGGTTTTAAAAATGTTACTCTCCCCAGGCCCATGATGAAGTTCGAATGTGCAGAAGGATTGAGAGTCACCCCAAATCACAAAATTAGTGGCAAAATATGATGGAATCTTATTCTTTTAAGTTTCAATACAATTTGCAGAGTCATCTAAGTTTCAAAACTCTCTGATTAATCTCTCAAGTGCTTCTTTGCAACCATATATGAATTCACACCATATATGAGTCGACTGGAAAAAATTCGCTGAAGATTCATGTTGTTCAAATTCATTCTTGACCAGAATATCCTTGCAATCACAGAGCTACTTTATTTTCTGAAGCACAAAGCCTACAGGCACAGATCCAAACAAAATGTTCCAATTTTGAATCCTTCTGAGCTGTTATGTAATTTATTCCAGAGATAGATAAGATGATGAACTAGCATGCCAACACTGATGGATTGGTAGTGCCTAACGAGCAAGAGCCTAAGACCACCCCCTGCCACAGAACTCCTGCAGCAGTGGTTAGCAATGTCTGCCATGAGTGTGGGAGGGGAAATATGGTATGGTTGCTTTCTCTCAGTCATCCCTGGCTTCTCCCAAGTACTATACTTGATTTACAAATTATCCTGGAATTGCCCCATTTTCCTGATTAGACTGCTAATTTCCAACATTAGGGACCATGACCGAAATGCCTAACAAACTGCCATGTATGAATGTAGCTGGTAACAATTACTAAAAAGCATGAAAGAATTGAAGTGAGTTGAACTGAATCAAATAAAATGGAATCAAATCAAATTAGTTTATCTCCAAAGGAACATACCAAAGTAAATACCCAGCAAAGAATGAACACCTATTCAGAGGCCAGATATTTTCAGCCATACTTTAAAATAAAAACGTTCTAGGTTTCATTTGAGATGGTTTCCCAACAAGTTAATTGACATTGGCATGTGGTTTCCAAAACAAGTTTTTGTCTAGGGTATTAAAGCACTGGGTCTCAAAACAAAATCAGATCTAAC